CGTCATGGGCGTTGTCCCTGGTCCTTGGTCCATCGTTCCGCGCTGGGGGTGTTGTTGTCGTTAGCGTGGGCGTCGTGTGCGTCGTTAGCATGGGCGTGGGCGTGGGCGTGGGCGTCGTGGGCGGTGTTGAGATGTGAATGGTGGTGGTGGAAGGGAAAGGGATGGTCACGGCAGTGTGACCATCCCACAAACAGGCAACGTGACGATATGGCACACCCTCAAGTAAGTCACGTGACCTCACCCCGCAGACTGAACAAAATCATGAATCCATATTGCAGCTATCACTGACCCACACTATATGTAAATTATAACATTTCCATTCATTGATCAATTAGTCTATTTTCGCTTTTTTAGTAGTATTCATATATAATAATAATAATATACTGGAATGACTGGAATCCACTGGAATCCACTGGACTCTGACTGGACTCATAGTCCAGTGGACTGGGACTGGACTCAGGAAAGTGGCTGGGAGTCCAGTGGGACTCCAGTGGGAGTCCAGTGGACTGGACTGGACTGGACTGGACTCCAGTGGACTGGGCATTCTGCCAGCCAATCTGGCCTGGTAAGAGGGCCACTGGAATCCACTGGAATCCACTGGAGTCCACTGGAGTCCATATGGATTACGTGGGGGAGGGTAAAGACCTCCAACCATGTCATTACTGTCCTTCAGCACATGGACTTAGAGCTCAAGCTTTTCGAAGTTGTCAATGCTGAGTACAAGACTGTTGCTGACTTGCTCAAAGATTATGAGGAAATCGAGGCTTTTCTCGCTTAAGTAGGTAATTATACAGACTTAGTAGGGCACCTAGAGTCCTTATGTATTTTCATAGTACATTTAAAATCCAGATGATCTGTTTTGTGCACGTGCGCCTTTATCTTCTGAAGAGTCCCATTTGCAGTTTTCATTGTCTTTTCATCTGAAAAGGACTTGCCGTGTTTTTAATAAACTAATCGTCATCATCATCTGCTTCCATTCCACCGACATCATCTTGAACGCTTTGGTCCAGATTTACATGTTTGAAGTAATAGTCATTCGAATCAACACGATCTTCAAGTCCTTCTTCATCTAATTTGTCTAAGCTTTCCTTGTTGAGGTCTATGATTTCATAAATATCATTGGGAAGCATTATCTTAGTCCTTGCAAAGTAAGGAATAATTCTAAAGGCCCCAACTTTATTTTGAAACACAGCTCCATCCATTTCCGCCACAATGTACAAACCTCCCTTGGAACGCCTGATTATAATCATCGGGCCTAAATATCGTGGTTTCATCTTTCTATTCAAGGACAACTCAACGCTCGTGTTTCGGACAAGAACCAAGTCCCCTGGTTTGTAGATTCTACCAATGATTTTATTCCTATGTTCAATTTCATACTTTGCTACTCTTTTCATTTTCTTCAATGTCACTCTTCTTCGCATATCTGCAACATGAACCCTGTGCTTGGCCAAAGCTCTTGCTCTATATCCAATAAGCTCTTCTGTAGTTAAAACATGATCTGGTAATTTAACTAACCATGTAGCTTCTTGCACGTTGAGTGGAATCAGTGGATGTGCACCAGTAACCATGAAAAACGGCAAGCAACCAAAACACTTTCTAACCGTGATTCTATCTGCCCATAGTACCTGCCAAAAGAACCAATACCATTTAGCAAGGTTCTGTGGTCCACAGCATTTGGCTAACATTTGTATTACATCCCAATGGGGTCTCTCAATTCTTCCGTTTGCCTTAGAATTGTACGCGGAAATTCGTATCCCCTTTATTCCGTACTTTTCTTGAAGCCATCTTACAGCTGCAAGAAATACAGCACCATTATCTGTAATAATTTCAGATAGGCAGCCCCATCTGCAAATTACTTCCTCAAATAGCCAGAGTGCTATAGTCTGAGCCATTTCTTTCTTCAAAGGTCTTCCTTCCATATAACTGGATAGAGCGCATCTTCCGTGTACAATGTATTTACATCCATTAGATGCAGGTGTTACATGAACAGTATCAGCATGAAGGACTTGAAAAATAGAGGGTGTATGAGTAACTGTCAGAGGAATTTCTATAATTCTTTTGGACCCTTCTTGGCAGCGATGGCATGTTTTCACATACCACGTAATATCATGTTCAATGTCTGGCCACCAGAATCTTTCTCCTAACATCATTTTTATAGCATATGCACCTCTATGTCCAAGACTATCATGAGCTGCACACATCATGTACATTCTATGTGATTTGTCTACTACCAGTTTGTGTCTGGAATCTATGCTTCTTCTGTATAATCTGTCTTCTTTGTCAACAAAGAACCCTTTTGCAAATCTTGTGAATGAAATATACTGCTTGTCTGTAAGGTTTTTAGGTCAAACATTTGGATTTTTCAACCAAATTCATACTAACAGCAGATAATCATCATGAGCTTTTCCTAGGAAAGAGCGTCCTTCCTCAAGATATGGGTCCTCTGTTTCCATTTCATCATACCTGGCTCTCAAATCTGGGATTAAAGTGGATACTACAAAGGTTCTTAAGAAGTCCTTCTGTTCTTCACTACAAGTCAGGTTATCATCATCATTTTCAATCTTTTGCTTGATGCTTTCTGCAAACTGCTCACTCATTGCTTCTTCTCTATCAAGTTCATCATAAAAGTCATCAATTGATAATGCTAATGATAAAACATAACCTCCATGAGTATCTATTTGGTCTTTAAAGTCTTCGAAATCTAATGGTGGTGAACCACCATTAGGGTCTGCTAATACTTCTAGAGTGCCAACTGGTTTGTCCATATTTTCTTCTGAATTTGAAAACACTTCATCTCCAGGTTGCCAATCCCTTCTTGAAAGTCCATCTGCTGCAAAGGTCTTTCCTTTTATATGTTGCAACATAAAGTGGAACATGAGGATTTTGTCAATCCATCTATTTACAGTAGCATTTGGTCCCATGCCAGGATTAGTTAACATTCCAGCAAGGTACTTTGCATCTGTTTCCACTATTAAACGTCTTACACCAAGTAGCCAATATGAAGCAGCTTCAAGGGCTCTCATGAGTCCAAATAATTCTCTCTTTGGTTGTGACATTCTTGCTTCTCTGTCATTCAAGGTTATAGATCCAAACCTTGCATAGTTTCTTTTTCCTGTATCTTTGTCATCTTGAAAGATGTAAAAGCCAACAGCCTTCCATGAGGTGTCTACTGCTAGTACAACTGGATTGGGATTATTAATATAATCTAAAGGCACCAATGCAGGACATTCCCTGAGACTTTTCTTGAGTTCTGCCATGGATTCTTCTTGAGCCGCCCCCCATTCAAAAGGAGCACCTTTTCTGGCCAAGTCATTGATAGGCTGTGCTTTCTTTGCAAAGTTTTCAATAAACATCTGGCATACCCCAACAGTTCCGAGAAATGCTCTCACATCATGTAGATTTTTACAAGGTCCCCAATTATCAATGACCTTTACTCTGTCTGTCTCTGGTTTTCTTCCTTCATATGTGCATAAGTGACCTACTACTGTAATTTCAGCTACACAAATTGTGGATTTAACACCTGAGAAAGTTCCTCCAGCATATTTCATCCTGTGAACCACTCTGTTAACATTCTCAAAGTGTTCCATTACAAAACATCTTATGCCTTCATTTTCTGGTATAGTCTCAAATTTTCCTCCAGGTAACTCATATCTAGTTGCTGGACCTCTGCAAGGCACATCATCAATATATGGTACTGTAACATCTGGTATCTCATCTTGTAGGATGTATGTGACATCGTTGTGGAATATTGGTACTGAATTGGTCCAACCCATTGGTAATGTTACAAGTCGCAAAGCACCAAAAGGTGTCTGAAAAGTAGTCAAATCCCAAGAAGACTCTGCTAAAAGTCTCTCATCGTATCCTACATATAAGTCAAATATGCCTCCACATGCCTGACCCGAAAAATGCATTGCAAGAGCGTCTGTTACAGGTGGTAAACCCAAGTGCGCTATTGTGACTGCATTCAAAGGTTCTAGACTTTGTACAATTCTCAAGCTTTTTCCATCTTTCTTTAATATGCAAAACCACTGTGATCTATAAGATGAATTTGAAGGTTCATAAACCCCAGCATCTATCTTTGTCTTAATGATTTTACATACTTCTGAGAATAATCCTGGTGGGATAGGAATATTTTTCAAGACCCAGGGTGTATGTGGTATAACAGGAATATCTACAGGCGGGAAGTATTCTGGTTTGAATCTTCCTCTTTCAGAGTCATCCCATGCAAAAGCCTCATTATTCTCCATCATAAAATGGTGTAATAATTTTCATTCTTCTGGCCACAAAAAGTCACTGCTGTGGACTTTGTCAAATTGTTCCTTTCTTTCATCAGTGTAGTGACCCGTAGGTACAAAGTCAGGAGGCGTCCTATTCAACTTTGGGAGAGTGTCAAGAGGATTCCCTTTAATATCACGAACAATTCTGAATTTATCTGGGAGATCTTGGTATACTGGCCTGATTTTCTGTGCAACCGGCTTGTATTTCTTTGTGACAAAAGTCTCTCTAGTTTCTACAAGATCCTCTTTCTTTTCCTTAGGTGCTGCTTTATCCTCATGGTCATAAATGACATTCATCATGGTTTCAACATTTTGGATCCCCCCCGACTTTAAGTTTACATCAGAGAAATATTTCTCTAAGTAACTTACAAGTGCAGGATGGTCTTTTTCTTCTTCGTATTTTTCATCTCTCAAGGTTTGGAGCAAGTAAAGATTTCTCAATTCTTCTTGCTCAAATTTTCCATTTCCTGGTAATGTATATGACTCGCATTCAAAACCACCATTACCATCATCAACTAAGGTTATAGTGATCTCTCCTTGATCTTTGATCAATTCATCAAAGACCAAAAATCCTCAGATGGCTTAGGAATTTCTGCTTTTATTACAACAGGTGGTCTTCCTCTTTCATGTGTAGGCAACACACATCGTTGTGTTGAATTAGGATCCGCTATGATAAGAGTTTGTCCCCCATCTTTATAATTCTGTACAGTACTCTCTGTCAATACATCAAATGGTCTGCCCAATAGCACTTTATATGCCGGGTCAGTGATGATGTGGACTTGTAAGTATACTGTTATAGTTCCAAAGATAAAAGGTACATTCTTAGTGAGACCCAAGGTCTGTTCAACTGTCCTGTTTGCACTCTGCATTTGGAATTTTTATGTCTGGATCCCATGAGATGGCCAATTTCTTAGCCACTTCCACATCTATGGCAATAATTTGAGAACCAGCGTCTAACAAACATTTGATCTGTCCCATTCTATTAATCACAGGGAAGACAGTTCATAACACATGAGACTCTTTTGCAACATAGATTTGTTTCGGTTTCTCAGACAGGCCTAAACTCTGCAGGTATTGCGCTACTAGATCGCTGATGATGATAGACCCTTTAGGCATGTTTCCTTCATCTCTTGTTGTCACCATAAAAGCTGCTTTTATATTTAAATCATTAATGGATATCGCATACGCCTCCAATTTGCATTTTGTAGGTTTTAATGGTACCACATCAATGTCAAGCTCTTCCATCATAGTAACTTTTCTGTTTTGAGCTTGTTGTACTGGCATCCTTTTCTTAGATAAAGCTTTAATCAAGTTGTGTCTAATACCTGGGGAAATGCTTATCAAAGTCTCTGCTGTCAGTGTAACTGGGGCATTATAGAGATTTGCTAAAGCCTCTCTCTCGTGTGTCACATTCTCAATTGGTGCTTGGTGTTTATAAGAAACAGGTCTTTTCTCAGTATCAATAATTGGCTCAAAATTATCAATCTTTATTTCTTCTTTTTGTCTTGGATCATTCAGGTCAGGAATATCGAAGTATGGTAACTGTTTATGCCTAGGCACTGGATCCTCTTCTTCATCATCCCTTAGGAGAAGTGGTTTAGGCTTCTCTTTCAGTTTTGGTATAGCTTTCTGGGTTTTCTTAATTACTACGGGCGTAATTTCTTCCTCCACTTCTTCAATTTCTTCTTCTTGCTCATCATCAGAATCTTCGAATTCTGCTAATTGTCTGCAGTTTTTGGCTTTAGTTTGGTTCTCAAGAGCTTTCTTACTTCTGGTATTGACTGCATTTCTACCAGATCGCTCAATCCTTGAACCTACGAGAAACGCTGCTGTCCCTGAGTATCAGCTTGACTGTGTCTAGTAGCTACATAACTTGCAGCTTCTTGACCTTGACCTTGCTGTCCCTCAAAATATGACAGAATGTTTTTCATATTGTTGACTATGTCAACTTCTTGTGCCGATGGACATGCCACCTGTGTAGTGTTCGCAGGTCCAGTTAAGTCCAGTTTTTTACCTCAAAACGACGCAACTGGCAACTGCAACCGGTCTAGACCGATCCAAATATTGAGGGACCGCAACCGGACCGCTTTGGACCGGTCTTTTTCGGTCCACAACGCAAAAAAAACCGGTCCAGACCGGTTGCGACCGGTCTTTTGTTGAAAAATTTATTGTGCCAGATATATTACATATTACCTCACGTATATAGCATGCGTAGATAGATAATTTAATTCTCCGTACGCTGGCCAAGATTTGAAGCGATTCGGTCAAGATTTGACTGAGATATGGTGAAAACAGAGAGAACATACATTCAAATTGCGTATAAAAATGTTTTTGGCCATATCTCAACCAATTCTTGACCGTTTTTGATGATTCAGGGACCGAAAATTAAGTAAAATGTGCACGAGTAAGGTACAATATGTGATGAGACGAAAGACCGGTTGCAATCGGTCTAAACCGGTCTTTTTCGGTTTTTATATATTTACAAAAACATGGCAACTGGCAACTGGACTGACCACAAATGTGGGCAACTGGCAACTGGAAAAGACCAGACCGTGGTTCAGTCCAGTTCAGTCCTATGTATATTTTCAGTCCTGTAGACTGGACCTGCGAACACTACACCTGTGCCGGCACATTATTACCCAACAGTGTATCAATTCGAGTAGCCATTTTATCTAAAAGATCATCTCTTGAGTCTCTAATCTGGTTGGTGTATACTGATTTAACTCGAGCATCTATTCCCAACTGGACGATACCTGGCTCTCCACTGTTCTGGGTGTAAATTTCTCCAGGCGATGCAAACATGTTGCTTTGCGCCATCATATCTTTATTGCTAGCTTCTTTGACAATCATCTTAGCAGACTTCCCATTTGTCCCTCTAGGTACTGGTTGACCTGTGAGTGCACAGAACATCTTATGACCAGACATTTTAATTTTTCCTGTTCTAATATGTTCTTCTCTATGAGGGCAATTCATTGTGAAATGCCCTGTTTCTTCACAGTACCAGCATCTGTCTGAACCCATTCTCCAAGTAGGCTGTGTCTGCCTCATGGTGGGTGCTGAGGTAACATGCTGGGTCATTAACATCTCAGTTAATTTGTTCATTTCTTGTCTAGATGCTTGGAAAGCACTCATTTGTGCTTTTTCACTTGATGTAATTTTATCCATGAGTAATGCAACTTTCTGGTTTAATTCTCAGATATCATCTTCTAGCTTACTATGTACTGGCATATTATGCATGTGATGCTCTCGTGTTGTCCGTGTTTCTGTTGCATTGACACCAACCCGGGTATTACTTGAAGAGCTAATCCCTTGTGCACGTCCTGCAATAGTCTCAGCCATTTCAATTACATCTAGGATAGCATATGGATCCTCTGGACGGCATTCTTTTCCTTCAGCAGTTTTTCCTTTATCATCTTTGGAAATTTTAATATTGAGACTTCCTTCCACTTGACCTCAGAAAATATCCCTTAGGCATCCTAAAAACATATCAACTAATTCTCTGTTGCTCACCAAGGCGGGTGGCATCAAGAGTAATTTTTGTTCTGCCCAGAAGCTTCTGGTAAGGTTTTTAAGTGCAATAAAGTCATCAATATTGATGCACTGATGGTCTTTACAAATTTTTCTTAAATTTGCCAGTGTTCCTTTTCCTGCCATCTTTGCTTCTGGATAGTCATTGATCAACACCTGTTTAAACTCCTTGTATTCAACTTCAGGAGCAAACGTGTTGAATGCTCGCCATTCGAATTCCGTCTTTTGGTCCGTGTACCTTCCTAATTGTTTCTTCTTTTCTTGATCATCATTGATACCATGCTCTGTGAACAAGTCCTCCATTTGGTCAATGAATCTTGACAGCTCAATGGGTTTTTCCTTGTCAAAGTTAGGGGCTCCTCGGGAGCCTGGCAATGGCATTGGTCTAGACGATCTTCTGCCTCCAGTGGCAGGAGCTTCATCTTGGGTATTATCTGGCATGTTTGTAATATTTCTTTGGGCTAACGAGTTCGGATTTATATTATCAGATGCCCTAACAGTTTTTCTATGAGTCGTGCAAGGAGGCGGTTGGGATACTGTCTCTGTTCTTAACAGAAACCTTTGCACTACTGCTGTTGCAGGTTGCTTAGCTTTTCATTTAGGTGGAGGTGGTAAACCTGACGATTCCCCTGCTTTAATAGAATTCGCTGTTTGTCTGATTTTTGGTGCTGTGGTGAACGGCTCTGCACTAGTATTTAAATTGCTTCAAACGCTAGCAGTTTTAATTTAAACTTTTCATTTAAATAAATGATCCCGTAGATCACTAAACTTTCAAGTCTTTGCTTTATCAAAAACAAAAGGAGACCCTTGCAGTGGGCTCCAGATGATATGTGTTGCACAGGGATGACTGTGAAAGTGCGAAACATGCGAACAAGGATCAAGCGCATCAGGAAAACCCTAAACACTCACACACACACACACACACACACACACACACACACACACACACACACACACACACACACACACACACACACACACTATCACAATCTTAGTGCACAAGTTCGAGGGCCTTTGGTATTGAGAAATACCACTTTTGTCTTCTTAGGTTAAGTCTCAAGAGATTTCGTTCAAAATGGGTTTTTATTATAAGGTGTGGTTTAGAATAGTTCAATAGAACAAAGTATGTCTTTCAGGGAACTTGGTCTCTTAAATGCAAAGTTCTTTGATCACAGTTTCTTTTATTAACACAAAACATGACTTTAATTGACTTTTATGACTCCCGTGAGTTTTTATCATGTCACTACGCTCTGAAACAAAGGGTATGAGTATGCTGTCTCATCTAAATGATACTGTGTCCTTAAAACCTCTTATTCAAAAGTCTCCAAGTAAGTTGACTCCCAAGCACGCTGGCTTCGTTCACACTGTACTTATCTGACCACGAAGAAATCTCCTTTTAATTGATTACAACTGTCCACCTCCTAAGTCTCTACTTGGAGTGCAACTAGCTGGTCAACGGGGAGGCGATTGCTTGCCTTTTGACCTGCCAGCGCGCTCCTTATATACTCCAGGAACCCCTATCTATGTTTTACATAGTGTTTGAAAGTCCGGTTAGGTTAGGTTATTGGGTGCCCAGGGGCTCCAACCGAGACCGAGACCGGTTAGGGTTCGTTCCCAGACCCAAAATAACCTAACTGGACCAAAGATAACCGACAAAAACCAGTTAGTTGCAGTTACTAACCGGTTAGGACCAGAAAAATAGAAAATCGATTAAAATGGCATATATTTCTCATATTCCTTGCAGTAAATATTATTTCCATGCGTCGTAGCTTTAAAACAAGCCCAAGAACGCTAAATTCGGTGAAGAATTGACAATTTTATAATAATATTCTTGAAAGCCTACTATTTTAGCCAATATTATAGAGATTTGACCATAACTCTGTCAGATTTTTAGTGTTTCTCATGCTTTTAGATATGTTTTGAAGGGGTATAATAGGGTCGGTTGTAACCGGTCATAACCGGTTTTTTAACGGTTAGTTAACCGCAAAATAACCGGTTATTTCATTTCCAGAATTGACTAACCACTAACCGCAGTCCGGTTTTTTTGTGGTTAGGTCCGGTCTGGTCTCGGTTATTTTCCAGTTAATTAACCTAACTTCCAAGCACTAGTTTTACATGTGTTTTTAAAAGAACGTGTGGTATATTTTGTAGTCTGTCTCTGTGAACACTACAGATTTTGTAGTGTCGCGTCTTTCATTTTCAAACACATCAGTGTTTGATGTGTACACGGAATTAGCCGATGTAGCTATTCCTAGCTTGGCATGATCTCGTGTGTTTCTTTTCTATGGCCCGGTTTACCGGTCTGACAGATGACATCACAAAATGATTAATGTTTCCTGATGCGTTGATGCATGTGCATACACGTTTACCAATAGTCTTCGGTCTCCCATCGTTTCTGAGTTTTTTAATTAAAATGCCTTGTCTTGGCTCATCTTTTCATTACAAAGGTCAGGAGACACTCCAAAGGTGTTTTCAAATGTCTTTTTCTTAATTGTCAGGGGGTTCTTATTATATTTCATATAATAGAATGTGTCTTTCTCTTATGTTTGTACTTGTGACGTTCAGACGCATCAGTCTTTGATGTGTATGCAGGAACTGCCGTACATGACTTTCTGAATGGCCACAAGCCACACTAAGTCTTCGTACATTTACTACTAGGTGTAGTTTAGGCTTTCAATGTTTCAGACATGCCATTTAGGTGTCTATGTCATCTTTTCTGTATTTCTTGTATAAGCACGAGTTTCCACAATAAATCCATTATGTGTTTCTAAACCCTTTGGTAGTAATGCAATTCTTCTCCCTGCATTGGGTGTTTACTCTAGAACCTCTTTGTGCTCTATTTCATGGTAGGTGAATCTTAGATAGAAGCCAAGTATAATGTCACGACGTGTACTGCTGCCAGTTCCAAAGCCTTTGTCCTATTTTCAGATTCCATGCATTTGCATTTTTAGTCAACTGAGCCAGGTATGTGCATTGACTCTTTGTATCATTGCAATTGTATGTAGTGTATTTATTAGAGATGACCTTTATCAGTAAAATCGTTAAAAATCGAATTTTATATGGGTGAAATGGTTTCATCCGTATCAACAGACAACACCTTCTCATAGACCCCCCTATTCCCAGTGCTGGTGTGAGTGGGGAAAGAAAGAGGGAGGGCATTGTGACGATGGTGACCGATTCTAGGTCTGTTAAACATCATCATTCTAGGCCAGCCCAGGGTTGGAGTTGGGGTTCAGGGGTTGGTTAGATTTTATGATGTCCGAGGGATACGTCTGGTGATGATGTTATGAGCATTGAGAAATACATCTGGTGCTGCTCTTTACACAGGCGGAAACAGAAAGAAGCTACAACACTGCTCCATCACAATTATCCAGTGACGGAGACAGAGACGGAGGGGGCCGAACCATACCATCGATGAGAAGGGGAAGGAGAAAGCCATCGACGAGAAAGACAATAACAGGAAGAGGAAGAAAGATGCACGAGAGACTTATGGACCGCATTCGACCTTGACCCACCTCAACATCATGGACCTGTCAAACAGGAACAAGTCCAAGAACCTGGTCACGACAATACCTCCCTCACTCCCATTGACTCAAACCTCACCTCTCTCGCCTCAAATGACTCAAGCTCAGACTTGACCGCCCTCCGGATAGCACACACAACCCGCAAAGAGGCCCTAGACCAACGTGAGCTCGGGCTGGCGGCTAGACAGGAGAGGATCGAGGGAATGGATGAGAGGGTTAGGGAGGTGCAGAAGGTTGCTGGGTATCATGAGGAGGCGGTGGGGCAACAGGAGAAGGCGGTTGGGCGGAGGGAGAAAGAGGCGGAGAAGAGGGAGAGGGCGGTTGAGAGGAGGGAGCGGGGGATGTGAGGAAGGGAAGAGAAGGTCGTGAAATTAGAGCAAGCGATTGATGAGCGAGGACGGGTGCTTGATCAGAGAGAATCAGAGGTTGAAGAACGTTCTAAACGGGTTCAAGAGCTCGAGGAAACACGTGATGCTCGACATGGTGCTCTCGACACGTCCACTTTGTCGCATTCATGGCCCATTACTCTTCTTCGATCTGTGGTCTTCCGTGTATTAGGCGACAAGACGTCTTTGTTCCTCTTTCCCTCCCCTAACCCAAGTTCTTCTATCCAAAACTCGAATGCTCCCACCACCACCACCCCTAAAGAAGACCCAGACGCGACTGGGAAGCGCGACGCGATCTGTACCTTTCAACAGGCGGACGGGGGAGTCACCTCATACTTCTGGGGATTGGCGTGTGTGCTGATGTGTTGAAGGTGCTTGTGAGGAGGTTGACTGGGGTTGGGATTTCGAGTTGGTTGAAGAGGAGGAGCAGGAGGTAGTGTTGCTTACTGCTTGAATGGTTGATTTTGGGCCTCTGGGAGATGCCTTAAACAGGTTCATGACATATATGATCTTTATGACATTTTCACAATCTCTTTTTCACTGACACTGATGAGTAATTGAATAAATGAATGTGCGCGTATGCAAGAGTTTTGTGTTTTGTTCGTGTACATATATCTCTGATATATGTAGTTACTTATACCTTATACTTATCAATTCACTTCAGTCTCTGAAGCTTCAGCGCTCAGCTTCAACAGTCGGCAGCTGCAAGTTGCGATAGCTGCTTCGTTTTTCATAATCAGTCGGTCCTCGTTTCTTATGGTTCATATCAACATATCTACGGGTACTGGTACATCGACCCCTTCTGAGCCTAAATCCTGTGTCGTAAAAACCCAGGAAGCCTTATAAGGCAGGTAAGGCAGGTAATCACAGGAACGAATTGTAATCCAATTATAATCAAGGAGAAATGTACTATAATACATAGGGACAAATTATAAGGTACCAGATAATTGTAAATGAATCGAAAATTTGTGGTGATCTCCTAGCTCAATTGTAATGTGTGCGTTTCTTACTAGTTAGTTGTCTTATTATTACGGAACCGTTGTTATTAGCGGGGATCGAACTCTGAGCCTATTGATTACTTACCTTGTTTTGACTTGCTTATTGACTTGTCTATACTTTCCGCTGGGCTATGGGGGCATATTTAGGTACAACCTCTAGTTCTTCATAACGAGCGCCGCGGCTGACCCTTCGACAATACAGAGTTCATACAGAGCACTGTTCTCCCTTCTCGTAAACTTAGCTATAGTTTCCCCCCCCAACATCATATGCACATTCTCTTGCTTTATGGGGTTCAAGCACTTGTAAAGCTGATTGAAGAAGGTCAGTACATGCTCGTATTTTTCGAGTTCAAAGGTATATTCTTATGCTTGTTGTCTTTAGAGAAATTGTGCCCTCTTTTCCCGATGTTTTGGGCTCTTGAGAGCAGAGACCCAGATAATGGAAGCTTTCCGTGTCTAGAAGGTGGTGAGATATCCATGTATAGCATGTGATCGGTATTGCATAGGATGAACAAAGTAACATAAATACTCGCCTTATTCCTCACAATCCTATCCCAGCTCGTAAATGCGAAACACCCACCATCTATAGTGTATATGTCCGTTTCTCGCAATTCCGTACCCTTCTGACGGCGTTCACGCATTAGATTTGAACATCGAGTCTTCATGTAGTATCGAGTCTTCACGTACTATGTGAAGGCTCGATGTAAGGTGAGTAATCAAAATGTACATGACCATTACATTCTATCCCAGTTCATAAAAATGAAACACATGCTGTCCGTAGCAATTCCGTCCTTTCTAGTGGTGTTCACACATTAAATTTGATGTTGCGTCTTCACATATGTTTTGTTGTTGCCTTGTTTGTCTTCATGCATGTCGTTTCGATTTGTTGTATGTAGCAGAACGAAATCTAATACATTTTGTTAATAAAAAAATTTGTGTAACAGAAAATACAGAATTCAGTGTTGCATGAAACAAAGTTCTATTAAAATATAAGATGGGGTACATGAAGTGTACTTACTTGCTAGCCCTTCGTGGTTTTCCCTTGTTGTTGTATACATACATCGGACATGTGTATACCTCATCGTTCCAGCTGTCGCAGACGTCAACGTGTTCTGTAGATGTCCCTCATGCCATTAACCCAACATATTGTCATCGGGTATCTTGGTTAGGCTGCAAAAGTATTTCATTAGTGCTTTCATTTGTTGTCAACATCTTGACTTACAGTCTTCAGGTAGGTGTTCTATCTCGTCTTTGGAAGTGTTGTGAAACAGAGAAGTTGAATCTACGAAAATATGTTAGCGTGACAATAATCTACAGAGTCAAACTGACATACTTATCGTTTGGCATCCCCCGGACTCCATTTATCCCTCCAAAACTTCAAAACATTGCTGTTGCTCATTTCCAGCGTTGAGACGATGTATCTTCATCCGCAGAACCGGCATAAGTAATGCAGAATGCTCCATGAAAAGTGCCGAGTGCTTTGAAATGACCACGCTGGTTAGTGTCGTGCATGACATCAAATGCGAGGTAGGTACTCACCTTTCATCGCATTTCCACAGCTCACGACCTCTCCCAGCTTCGTCATGCGAAATGTAGCCTTTCTGTGGAGTATTCATCCGTTCCCCGCAACTCCCGCGCCCTCCTGGCAGCGTGTACGTGTTAGGTTTAAATGTGAAGTCTTTGTGTATGTGTAATTGTCTTCTCGGGTGTCATTTCAGTTCGTCGTAGGTAGTAAAAGGAAATATAGTAGTTTTGTTAGCTAAAAACTTGTGTAGAAGAGAATATGATACTCACGTTGCGTGAAACTGCCAACACGTCAACAATGCGCTTGAAAACAATCACAGGCGTTAGTATTGTGCAGGATGAGCGAAGCAGCGTAACTACTCACTTTGCGTTGCCTTTCCCACTCCTTAGGAGCCTGTCCCAGCTCGTAAACGCGAAGCGCCACCTTTCCGTAGCATGTCCATCTGTTCCCAACACTCCTGTGCCTATCCGACAGTGTTTACGCGCTTTCAGCGCTTTGATTAGAAGACAAATATTGATCTTATCACGCAACGTGATTCATTATAACGTGACTACAATAGCTCCCGCCAGCCTTGTAATCCATTACTATTATAAGGCATCACGGATTTTTCCGACATGACATATCCCATTCCGAAAGCATACACACTCTCCGACGTTCGCCAATCAAATAAAAACAACATAAACTAGCAAAACGGTGGATACCCAATACTCCGACATAGGGAGGATCGGACCACTCACCCGTTTCCACATCTGCCAAAGAAAATCAACAACCACCTAGTAACCCAAAGGCAAATTGGAGACTCACAGCCTTTTTCACCCTTGGAATTAATCACCATGTATGCTGGATGAGAGTCTGTTCCAACAAAGCGTCAATAAACTGGTGACAAAGTGGAAAAGGAAAGAAATACGCTCGCTAGCAAGACTCAACACAGAGGCGACAACTCCATCCGTGGAAATGATTTCATCTTTGTGTGTCATCGATAGCCAGTTGGGACCGCATCCGCCTCCTTTGTAGTCTGCGATGGGATACTATAGGACGAGAATCGGATTATCTCAGGAACTGTTACTCACTGGTAGCACAAGTTACCCGAGCGCATTTAGTGAATTTTGAATCTGGTCCATCTGAAAAAGCACGGTTTGTTGCCGCAGTGTCTAGTGGATATTTCCCAAGAAATTTACCTGATGTAGGCTTAGTCTTTTGGTCTGCAACTGTATTGGTGGTTGCATTGACAAGGGCTACGGGATCGCCTTCATCGCTACCCGGAAAAGTGTCACCTGAGAAGGATATGACATCAGTGTCGCTCATGGCAGCGTCACTATTCATGTCTTGAAAGAGTTCCATTTCCTTGTAGAGTGCATGACCCGGCGTGACCAGGCCTTCGACTTTTGCGATATGTGCTTTCAAAGACCCGACAGAGTGAGGGGGAGCGATGAAGAGGGTGTTGATGCGTCCTAACGAAATATCGCTTTCGTCAAAGGACGTCTTCGTCTTTTCATCCCTTTTTCCCTCTGATAAGTAGACGCGATAGTATACTGCAAAGTTGATGAGTGCACTGTTTGTGTAGGAGACGTCAACAAGACTTGCCGTAATGGCTATCGGTATCATCAGAGCGTTCCGGCAGTGTCTCTGATTGCGACACCTCCTCTGTCCTCGTCTCTGACTCGACAACCAACACTATCGGATCTTGTTCAGACAGGCCTGGGCCGGAAGGAGCATACAAAGAGAGGCGGGCAGAGTCTTCTTTAGGTGCTGGGCTTGAGAGCGGTGTGAAGACAAGTGCCTTGTCGGGCTCAGAGAGGCCCTCGATTTTGCACAGGGACCGCTTGATAGACGCCACGGTATGAGGAGGAGCAAAATAATTCGATGGAACGCGACCAATGAAACGGTTGTTGTGGTAGAGGGCGTGATTTGATTCAAATGCACCAAGTTTGGTGTATAGACGGTAATATACTGCATGAATAAATCAGGCCAGCAGTAGAGTTTTCGGGATAGCGGCGCACCATAGCTAGGACCTGTCCTTTTTGTTGACTTTCCTCCTTTCAGTGCTGATTCTGTACCCCCTTTTCCATCTAAAGAGGGAGTGGAACCGGACGTATGATCACGACCAGGCAGAGTAGACATCGCCGTTTCCAACCAGAACCTGTTGGAATATTAGCAAAACGGGCGATTGAAGGAAAGAGTTATCGGGCACGCCTTCGTCATGCGCCCATCCACGAGGCATTGGCGCTCATTTTTGAATGTCAAAACTCTGTCGGAACTCTAGAAATGGTTATCGTTGAAGTCAAACCAACGCGTTGACATCAAATTCACAATCACCTCCGAGTTGATCGATGATCTCGTACATCTTCCACATCCAGTCATCCTTTCTCGCTCTTCCTCTTTACCGCAACACCAAGTGCATAGTACTACACTCACACTGCACCACTACGTCCCGCCTATGCCTTCGCCAAGTGGTCAGATGTCTCTGACGGAATATAATCTTCTTAGAGAGAGTAGATTGAACCTAGGTCTTTGCCGGTGCCGCCTTCGAGGTCTCACTAGCACTCATGCATCATGACCAGGACTACCGTGACAGCACTTCTCATCAAATAATGGCGTGAAGACCCGCGCATCCGTCGAAAACAAAACACGGCTGATACCCTTCCTTCGTTTACCATTCCCACCCTCGAAATACCAGAAGATCCGAAAATATGGTCAACAACACACCTATCCGCCTACCTCTACTCCACACTGGGGCTGGGAAGGTTCCGGACCAAATGGCGTGTGATAGCGCTGCATAGTCAAGTTTCAAGGAGGAACAGAATGGGGAAGACGTTTTTCAGGGCGATTTACAGTGTTTTGCATTGCCGTCTGCACAAGCAAATTTCGAAAACTCTGTTTGGTTTTATGTGTTCGTCACACATTGTCACTCGTTAGAACGCGTTGGAAATTTTGAATCTCTCGCACCCAGCTCTCATGGCGCCTCAGGTATCAGATTCGATGCGCGCGTGGATTGTCATTTGGCATGGGGAGCAAAATCTCTCAGCACAGGAGATTTCAGGCCTTGTTGGATGAAGTGGTCAGTTTCTCTCCATTTGTGGCAGTCACGGTACAACACATACAAACATGATTTCCAAACCTCGGTGTGCAGACGGCAGTGCAAAGCACTGTAAAGAGGTACGTGTTTTTCTTGTCCTTCCTTGGTTCTATTTCTACCCAGTGCTAATAATTGTATCGGATATAAAAGTCCGAACTACGAACAACCCATCAAACCCACCCCCACTCCGCCTCCCGCTCCCTGCGTGAAATCAGCCTACAGGCGGGGTTCGAGTCGGGCCATGATTTTCCCGTTGATTCTCCACAAAACGATTTCTTGACCAACTTTGCCGAGACGAGCAAGAACACCAGCTTTGATTCTTCTTAGCTCACCGAATAAGACTCAACCAAGTTCAACGTCTCAAGCTCCGACTTACGACCAACGCCATTCCGCGTCCTATTCACATTCGCTAAACAAGACTCAGTGCACCCTTCCTTCATGGGGGACAGTCCACGATTTAGTCTCATCTTCGGTCGCTTGTACCTACGGGGTCTCCGTTCGTTTCTACAGGGGTCTTCGTTCCCTTCAACAGGTACTGGTTCGCCACTCGATTTTACGCGTTCTAGGTCACCATTCGCGTCCACAGGCACGGGCCTTCCGTTCGCTCAAGCTCCAATCGATACGGCAGGATTGAGCTTGGATATCACCATGCGCCTCTACCTTCATCTTCCTCCCAAGTGGATCATCTTCAGGTTCCGTACCTTCATCTGATGCAATTTCCATCCGTTAGGCGACGGTGGCTAGGTCAACAACACGCGCGTTCCCTTCCTCTCCCGCCGTACAATGTACAACAACCTCCCGTAGACCCACCGGTGTGAGTGTGGGTGGGGAAAGGAAGAAGGAGGGTGTAGTGACGACAGTGACTGATTCTGGGACCACCCTAGGCCACGCTCTGGTCTGGCGTTGAGGAGTCAATTGGGTTTTACGATGGTCCAAGGGCTGATACGCCTGGTGATGATGTTCTAAGAGATACGCCTGGTGATGATGTTACTCCTCCTGGTGCTGGTCCTGACACGCAGACTGAGCCAGAAACGGAAGGAGGCTACAACATCGCTCCATCCCAATTATCCGAAAGGGACGAACTGAGCATGGCAGACCTGCTCCTCCTCTTCTCCCACCACTCTCCTGCTGCACACCCGATAACGGGAGCGGAGGCGTAGGAGTTGGAGTTGGTTAAGCGCGCTGGGGCTACGGCCGTTGGTGGTGGAGGGAGTACGAGTGGAAGCGTTAGGGTCCTTAAGGGAGGAAGGTTAGGGTCAGTAGGGGAGGAAGGTTAGGGTCGGTAGGGGAGGAAGGTTATGGTCGGTCGGGGAGGAAGGTTCGTGGGTTGGTGAGGGGGGTAAGTCCAAAGAGAAGAAAGACGAAAGGAAAGGGAAAGCTGAGGGGATAAGAAATATGGACGATGAAGAAAGAGTAGAAGGGAAGGGGAAGGCTTAAGAAAGCATAAAGACGACGAAGAGATGCCAAACGAGAGGGAAAGGAACACGTAGTCGATGAGAGTGGGAAGCCCGACGCGATCTGTACCTATCAACAGGCGGATGGGGAGTTACCTCGTACTCGTGGGTATTGGCCTGTGTGCTGTATTGAAGGTGCTTGTGAGGAGATTGACTGGGGTTGGGTTGAAGAGGAGGAGCAGGAGGTAGTATTGCTGCTTGAATGGCCGATTTTGGACCTCTGTGGGAGTCGCTTTGAACAGATTTATGACTTTTATGATCTTTACGACATGTCATGTTCTCTTTTTCGCTGACGTTGACGACGAATTGAATAAATGAATGCGAGCGTATGCGAGCGTTTGAGGTTTTGCTCGTGTACATTTATCTGTGATACTTATAGTTACTTATACCTTATGAATTGCTTGAATCTTTGAGCTTTGAAGAGGACTAAACGTTTGAAAGCGTCAACCGTGGGCATTGCAAGTTGCGCGATGCCGTTCTTCATGATCAGTGAGTCCTCGTTTCTTGTGTTACATATCAACAGATCTACGGTACTGGTACATTGACCCCTTCTGAGCCTAAATCCTGACATATCCCATTCCGAAAGCATACACTCTCTCCGAAGCTCAGAGAAAATCAATACGATCTGGCAAACAGTGGATATCAAATACTACTCCGACAGAGGGAGGAAACCACTCACCCTTATACACAACTGCCAAAGAAAATCAATAACCACCGAGTGACCCAACCGCAAATTGGAGACTCACAGCCTTTTTCACCCTTGGAATTAATCATCATGTATGCTGGATAGTATACTGTTCCGACAAAGCGTGAATAGTTTGTGACAAAGCAGAAAAGTAAAGAAATACTGTTGGTAGCCCGGCACATCACGGAGACGATAACTCCATCCGTGTGAACAATCTCATCTTTGATTATGGATAGCCAGGTGGACTTGTTTGCATTGTCTGCTGCTATGGGATACTTTAGTAGGCTTACGATCGCATTATCTCAGGAACTGTTACTCACTCCAAGTGTAATTTATTCGAGCGCCTTTTAAATCTGGTCCATCTACAAGATCACAGTTAGTTGTGACAGTGTCCAGTGGATACTCACTGAGAACGTTACCTGGTATAGGCTTAACCTTTTGATCCGTTGCTGTATTGGCAGTTGCATTGATAAGGGCTACGGGATCGCCTTCATCACTACCCGGGTAAGCGTCACCTTCGAAGGTCATGACATCGGTGCCGCTCATGGCAGCGTCACTATTCATGTCTTGGAAGAGTTCCATGTCTTCGTAGCGTGCATGACCCGGCGTTACGAGGCCTTCAAGTTTCGCGCTGCATGCTTTCAAAGACCCAGCGGTGTGAGGGGGAGCGATGAAGAGGGTGTTGATGCGTCCTAACGAAATATCGCTTTCGTCAAAGGACGTCTTTGCCTTTTTATCTCCTTTTCCCCCTGAAAGGTAAACGCGATAGTGTACTGTAAAGCTGATAAGTGCACTGCGTAAGAGACATCGACATGACTTGCCGTATTGGATATCGGTATCATCAGAGCGTTCCGGCAGTTTCTCTGATTGCGAGACCTCCTCGGTCCTCTTCTCCGACTCGACAACCAACGCGATCGGATCGTGTTCGGACAGGTCAGGCCCAGAAGGAGCGTACAAAGAGAGGCGGACAGAGTCTTCTTTGGGTGCTGGGCTTGAGAGCGGTGTGAAGAGAAGCGCCTTGTCGGGCTCCGAAAGGTCCTCAAGTCCGCACAGGGACAGCTTGATAGACGCGACGGTATGAGGAGGGGCAAAAGATCTCAACGGAATGCGGCCAATGAAACGGTCGTTGGAGTAAAGAGGGTTATTTGATTCAAATGTGCCGAGTTTGGTGTACAGCCGGTAATATACTGCATGAGTAATTAGGCCATTGAAGCCAAGGAGAAAAGTTTTCGGGATAGGACGCACCATAGCTAGGACCCATCTTTTTCGTTGACTTTGCTACTTTCGCAGCTGAATCCATACCCCCTTTGCCATCTAAAGAGGGAGTGGAACTAGACGTATGATCATGACCAGGCAGAGTCGACATCGCCATTTCCAACCAGAACCTGTTGATATATCAGCAAAATGGACGATTGGACTTGGAGAAAGTTACCGGACAAGCCTTCATCAAGCACTGTCATGCACGAGGCATTGGCGCTTGTGCATCAACTGTGACCTCGCTGCCAGAGCACGTAGGATGTTCTCAACAAGTACCTCCGCCTTCCCTCTATCCAGCTCACGCACTGGCCTCTCAAGCTCTCAACTTGGGGAGCGCGAGTTTATGACAAGCCACCATTATGTGGGGGAGAGGTGGAAATTGAGGTTGACGAGACAGTTCCGATTGTGCGATGGGAGGAAGAGAGTGGATATGGGGAGAGGTGGAAGTCGTGGAGGGGGTTGACAGCACCGTTTACAAAGGCGACGTCCATGTGCATTGGTGAATCCGATCGCCAGCCCTCTATTCCACCTAACATCTTACTTCGACCTCACGTCCTTCGAGTCTACCAATAATCAAGGCGCCTTCTCCCAAATCATACTGCCTCAAGAGGTCCACGGCGAACGGGCATGACGGCGACGTTTCCCAATGCCAACTATACGCCTCGTCCGAATTTTCTTATCCATTTCCTTGCCACGAAGGATCTTAAAGGGCCATATGTGCGTATTTTATATCATGCTAACACTTTGACCTCTCACGATGTTTAGGTGTTAGATGAGACTCTGTTCAACGATGAAAAGCTCGCGATCTGGTTGTGCTCCAACACTACCATGTTCTCCGATAACTCAGCATATCGCAGGATGGGACAATACTGTACTAGGATTTCAGCCTTCGACTTGAACCGCGTCTGCGAGGATTCGCGGAACTTCAGGGAGTGGCTTTATTAGAAGGGGTCACTAAACTCAATACTCTCGTGCCCGATGTCTGGCTCATGCCTTGTAAACGGATCGTTAGGGAAAGGCCGTTCGACGAGAACTTTGATTATCAGTTCGTTTCATGCCATCCAACTTTTGTTTATCGTCGTAACCTGATCGTCGCCATTTCAGATGAAGTCTGGGATAGACTTGAAGACCCAGACACTCAAAAATGGCCTCGCAAACGGGTTCCCCTTCGCATGATATTCCAGGAAGCCCCGTTCTCTGAAAAGTCGGAGGAGGACCGGAGATGCTTTCTCTCACATGGCTGGCACATTATTGTCTCTCCTATATGTCTCTCCTATATGATGACGTAAGCACACAAAATCTCGATCTCCGTAGAGTCCTCACCGCGTCGTCTAGAGCATTTCCTGCCTTGGTCGGATAAGGTTCCTTCCACTAGCCATCCAGATCAAAGATGATGGGATCCTCTATGTTGAATCTCCTGGCGATTCTTGTGAAGTTGCCCGAGTTCATCAAGACATGCCGAAGGTCAATCAACTTCCGGACTCTAATCTTTTCCCCCTTCACTGACAATGCAGCAGGGCATTGAGATCGTCGTTTCTCCAACTAAAGGTCGATCGCCCGTTACTTACCATTTACGGTTAAGATTCAATGACGAGGGTCCTCCGCCTTTCTTGCCGATTTTTCAAGGATTTCTCGGCAGGGCGTTGGAGAACGCCGAAGAAAAAGTAGAAGTGAAGGGGAAGGCTCAAGAGGGGACGAAAGGCGAAGAGAAACCAATGAGAGGCAGGAGACGGTTATGGAGCGTATACAATCCTCACCCACCTCGTGGTGGGCAACGAGCCTCAGCATTGTGGTCTGAAGATGTCGATGATCGTCCAGCTCTGGATTTGGACTCGCACTCCCACACAACAGAACAAGACGTCTCAAACTCACGACCTCACCGCCCTCCGCGTAACCCTCATAACCCGCCAAGAAGCCCAGACGAACGTGAGCTCGTACTGGCGGCTAGGCATGAGAGGATCGAGGGAATGGATAGAGGGTTAGGGAGGTGCGGAGGGCAGTTGGGTGTCGTGGGGAGGCTGTGGTGCGACATGAGGAGGCAGTTGGGCGGAAGGAGAAGGAGGCGGATGAGAGGGAGAAGGCGGCTGAGCGGAGGGAGCGAGAGGTACGAGAGAGAGAAGAGAAGGTCATCGAACTACAAATTCAACACTCCCTCCTCCTCCTTCTCGCCAACCAACGCCACAAGCCAACCCCAGATAACCTCCTCACAAGCACCTTCCACACAACAGCGGGCACACCAATGCCTACGAGTACGAGGTAACTCACCCGTCCACCTGTTGAGAGGTATAGATCGCGTCGGGCTTCCCAGTCGCGTCGGGGGTTTTCTTTGAGGGGGGATTGAGGTGGAGGGGTAGAAGAATTCGGGTTGGAGGAGGAAAAACTTGGGTGAGAGGAGGAGGGAGGGCAGGAGCAAAAGAGGAATGAAAACGTCTTGTCGTCCAACACACGAAAGATGGCAGACCGAAGATGATCAATGAGCCATAAATTCGACCCCAAGTGCCAAAGCGGACGCGTTGAGACGACCAAGTTGAGCAGAACGCATTTTCATTTCGTCTTCAACCCGCCAGGTTTATGACTTTGACGATCTCTATTTGATCGACGCGGACGAGAAATTGAAGGAGTAAATGAGCGCACACGTATGCGAGAGTTGTGGGTTTTATTTGTGTACATATATCTCTGATATCGTTACATCGACTTATTTATGTCTTGAGTATTGAATCTCTGAGCAGGACTGAACGTTTGAAAGCTTCAACAGTCGGCAACTGCAAGTTGCGATGTCTGCGTGATCAGTTCGTCGTTTTTTGTGTTACATATAGGGTACCGGTACACCAATCCCTTCTGAGCTTAATTCCTGACATATCCCATTCTGAAAGCATACGCTCTCTTCAATGTTCACCAATCAATCAAAATCAATACGCCCTAGCAAACCACGGACATCAAATACTCCAACAGAGGGAGGAGACCACTCACTCTCGTAAACAACTGCCAAAGAAAATCAACAACCACCTAGCAACCCAAAAACAAATTGGATACTCACAGCCTTTTTCACCCTTGGAATTAATTACCATGTATCCTGAACAAAGTCCTGTTCCGACAAAGTGTCAACAAACTGGTGACGGAGCAGAAAAGGAAAGAAATACGGTGCGCCATGGGGTTCATCATGGAGAAGCGGACTCCATCCGTGTAAACGATTTCATCTTTGTTCATCGATAGCCAGGTGGTATTGTACATTTTGTAGCCTACAGTGGGATAGGGTGAGAATCAGATTATCTCAGGAACTATTACTCACTGAAAGTTTCATTTAACCGAGCACGTTTCATGAAATTTGAATCTGGTCCATGTGAAAGAGCACGGTTTGTTACCACAGTGTCTAGTGGATATTCACTGAGAACTTTACCTGGTGTAGGTTCAGCCTTTTGGTCTACTACTACTGCTGTATTGGTGGTTGCATTGATAAGGGCTACGGGATCGCCTTCATCGCTCCCCGGATAAGTGTCACCTTGGAAGGATATGACGTCGGTGTCATTCATGGCAGCGTCACTATTCGTGTCTTGAAAGAGTTCCATATCCTTGTAGAGTGCATGACCCGGCGTGGCTAGGCCTTCAAGTTTCGCGATGCATGCTTTCAAAGACCCAGCAGTGTGAGGGGGAGCGATGAAGAGCGTGTTGATGCGCCCTAACGAAACGTCACTTTCGTCAAAGGAAGTCTTTGCCTTTTCTTCTCCTTCGCTCTCTGATAGGTAAACACGATAGTATACTGCAAAGTTGATGAGTGCAGTATTTGGGTAGGAGACGTCGACAAGACTTGCCATAGTGAGTATCAGTATCAACCAAGCGTTCCGGCAGTTTCTCCGACTGCGAGACCTCCTTGGTCCGCTTCTCCGACTCAACAACCAACGCGATCGGATCATGTTCAGACAGGCCTGGTCCAGAAAGAGCGTTCAAGGAGAGGCGGGTAGAGTCTTTTTTGGGTGCTGGGCTTGAGAGCGGTGTGAAAACAAGTGCCTTGTCGGGCTCCGAGAGGCCCTCAAGTTTGCAGAGGGACCGCTTAATTGACGCCACCATATGAGGAGGGGCAAAAGATTTCGCTGGAATGCGACCAATGAAACGGTCGTTGTGGTAGATGGGGTGATTTGATTCGAAGGCACCTAGTTTGGTGTATAGACGGTAGTATACTGCGTGCGTGAATCAGGCCATTGAACCCAGGGGTCGAGCTTTCGGGATAGGGCGCACCGTAGTTAGGACCCGTCCTCAGGCTTTTCGTTGGCTTTCCATCTTTAGATGCTAAATCTGCACCCCCTCTGCCGTCTAAGGAGGGGGTGAAGCTGGATGTATGATCATGGCCAGGGAGAGTAGACATCGCTGTTTCCAAGCAGAAGCTGTTGAAATATTAGCAAAACGGACGATTGAAGGAAAGAGATATCGGACACGCCTTTGTCGTGCGCCCATCCACGAGGCCTTGGCGCTTAACGTTCAGCGTAAAAACTCTGTAGGTCATATGACGTTGGAAGAGCGCGGTATATAACGAAGTCTAGAAGTGGTTTCGCGTCAAATGTTGCTGGCCCTAGAAATTGAAGTCCTCCGCATCTCAATCCCTATTCACCATACGTATGACTCGGTGGCCTGGTACTAGTACAGTTGCGGACAAACAAAGTCAACAAATTTATTGACCTATTTTTTGGGACTCCGAAAAACATCGGAATTGGTAGATAATGGTATAAATGGGTTCCTATTGATCTCCTTGATCAATTCCAACGAGCAGAATTCCCAGAAATGACGATATAAGGGTTTTATACCCCAAAAATTTGGCCAGTGCCTGAAAAAATAGCTAAAAATACGAAAAATATGCCAATCGACTCCTTTTTGTTTCCTCTCTTTGATTTCATCAAAGTCTCCCTGAAATATCGATGTCTTCGATGGTGGGAATTTTGCTAAAACTGTCACGTGGGCATACCCTTTCCGGTCAAGGTGCCCCGGAAAAAGATATAAATGGACCCTGGTTCATTTTTTCACGTATCTACTGCACCAGGGTTATAAATTGCACAGAATTGATCCAAAGATGGCCGACTCTGAAGACTTTTGGGTGCGTTGAAAACACCCAAAAATTTGGCCAAACCAAAAACGCGTGGGAAAATTAAGGGAACACCTTTTTTGAACAGTTTCGAGGTCTCTGAATCTGAATCTGAAGTCAGAATTTTGATAAAAATTCTGGTTCTCAAGTTATCAAATTTGATGACTTTGTTTGTCCGCAACTGTAGCGAAGACGACGCGGACGGTTACAACGAGGCCGGTCGCAACGTCGCTATGTTTCAGGATGGCGGCAATGGTATTGGGTGATAAGACAAGAACGTTTTAACAGTCGGCAATTGCAAGTTGCGCGATGTCTGCTTCGTTTTTCGTAGTCAGTTTCCTCATTTCTTGCGTTACAGATCTATTACTGTACCAGTACTTGACCAGTACATCGACCCCTTCTTGGACTACAGTCGTGGACAAGCAAAGCCCACCAATTGCTTATCTGGCTGAAAACTCAATGAAATCGCGAGATTTTTTCAGAATCTTGCTCAGTTTTTCAAAAGACGTCGAAAACACCCCCTCCGAAGTTTTTCCCGCGATAATTAGGAAGCGCCAAATTTTTGGGGTCGAAAACCGGCAATGTAGATACGAAATTTAGTTGAGTACTGAGTCTAAATTGCTCATTGCGGTCCTCGAAACGCTGCGATGCCCTTTCTGCTTTCGCACAGCCCACTGGGCAGCCTCNCCAGTCAATCCGATGGGATAAGCTGACATCCACCGCCACGATCGGTTGATGAATCGCCGGATCACCTCAGGAGGACAAGCGTTCAGCGCTTCTGAGGCAGCGTCTTTTGCCTGTTGGAAAGTATTCTTGTCTACTTGTCGATATCTGTATTTAGCCCATCCCCAATACTATAGAGTAGAATCAGAATAAAGTTTGCCATAGGAAAGTATCAAGGCTCACCATTTCAATGGGATTGAGCTCGCAATGGAATTTAGGAAGAAAAATACACTCATGCCCGGCCTCCCGAATTACAGTTTCAAGAACGGAAATCTGGTTAGCAAAATCTTCTTGCTTACTGAGAAGACGTGCCATGCAGCAATTCTCATTCTCGAAAGGGCAGACTGGTGCGCATTTAGCGCGAAGGTGGCGCACATCAAAGCCACGCTCTTCAAGAGTTTGTTGAAGCCCTTTTTGTTGCCCAGTCTCGGTGGTCATTTTTTGAATCCTGCCGCGATATTCTGGAAATGGATTTGAATCTGGAATAATAGTGTCTTTTTGCCGACGTTGCGCTCCACCGTTCGATTTATTCATTTCAAAGGCTTTGAGCGCATCAGGTGCTAATGCGGCGTGAGCAGATGATTGATCATAGATAAAAAGTGCCTGGCATCCTGGATGTGCTTCTTCGAAAACCGGGATTGCCTTGTTTTTCACCTGATCAATAAGCTGCTTGGAATCCCACCATGGATCACCATTGGAGCCTGGATAGATTATCTGCCGTGCTTCCTTTAAAACTTCACCGTTTGGGCCGTTCACGACCAAACGCCCATTCTCAGCCTCAATATATTCTGAGATGTGTATTAAGCGTCCCCTGTCTTTTTTTGGGATGATCTGCTCCGTTGAATGTAACCTGGAACAAAAAACAATAGTTAGAACTAAGGCAAATAAGCCAAGGGAACAATAAACATACCAAACCGATGCTGTATGCTCAAAGGCATGGAAAGACGACTCATCGTGAAACTCGGGGATAATTTCTTTCTCTCCCAGTTGAAGCAAGGGTGAAATTCTCTGTAAATCATCACCTATACGCTCATACCTCGCCATTCGGCTTTCAAATTCGGCCATTTTTGGAAGGAAAATATTCTGACGATAGGAAACAACGTCTGCCCGTTCGTGTCCATCCACGTAAACGCCCTTCTTAATTCTGGTGCGATGCCAACCAAGCTTAACGAGCCAGCGACGAGCTGTTCTCTTGCAAAGTGGCTTGTTGGGATAAATACCGAGCGATGGAAGTATTGATTCGTTAAGGCCTTTCTGAAATTTGACTGGGGTAACTTTCCCCTTCTGCTGCTGGATAAGCCAAGCACGAGATGCACGACGAACTGCCTCATTTTTCAAAATTGATCGTGAGTTCTTCTGCCCACCACGTCGCTCCCGGGGAAGCTGTTCAAAAATTTGATAGTGGCGTGCAAGGGCTCGGATTCTCCTTGCAAAATGATCTGACGATCCTTCGAGTTTTTGGTGCCACTGCTTGGCAATGTCTTTGCTTGCTTCTATTCTACCAAGTCCTTTGAGGCGAAGCGTGGCGAAATTACGAAGAATCATGAGTTGGTTAATTTGGGATAAGGGAAGCGACTTGAATTTTTTATTGAGGTCATTCTTAATTTGATCGCGAAGTGCGTGCCAGTCTCGTATTTCGCTTGGATTTGACGCAAAGCATTCGTCGAGTTCCGCCTCCCATTCCTCATCTGCAAGTTCTAAATCATCAGTATTTTTCTGAGCTGCATGATGGGGGTCTGCAGAATTTTCGGGGTTACTCTCGCATCCATTCTTTCTCTTTCCTAGGAGCGAGATCTGGTCATCAAATAATAAACGCGGTGGACTCATCGATTCTTCACGGATCTGGACCAAATCACAAAAAACATCTGCTGGGGTTTCGTCATCAAACATTAAACGGGGTGGGCTGGCAGATTCAATGCGAATTTGAATGTCATTTTCTCCTGCATCTTCTTCGGCAACAATCTCTGCGTCTCTTTCAAGAGGAATTTCGAGCTCTGGACTCTCCTGCTTGATTGTGTCAACCTGATAAAATTTTAGCAGCTCTAAATTTGATTAAAAAGTATATTTGACAGACCTCAAATGTATCTTCCCCAAATCCACTCGAATCCGATTGACCTGAATCTGATTCCATGTTGTCCTCATGGTCTATACATGGCCTTTTGTCAGTCTTCGTGAATCCGAGATCTTCAAGAGTCTTCTGATCTTTTAAAAGGGACTTATAACGACATTGAGTTCGCGTCGATTTGCTCCCAACATCTGGACCTTTTTTATATTCTTTAGGACGGTTTGCGACTATCAAAATGGGATTAACGCGGAAAGTGAAAGCCGAGTTTAAAGCACGCACTCTTTCTCTCCTTCCGCAACTTCTTTCTTGTCTTTTTTGGCACCCAATCCTCATCCATCAAATTGTCCCCGACATCCATCGCCATTCGCATGAGGGCGACATACAAGCCCTTGTTTCTGTACTTTCTTGGATTCACCCCGGGCCGTATTTCCTCGACCTTGTCAAGAAAATCCTCTTCGTCTTCACTATCAATATCACCATCGGACTCTACACCATCACACACTGGTCTACTGCTGTCAACGTGCACATTGGGAACCCACTCTTCATCGTCGACATCATCGAGATCGTTATCTATCAGCAGATCAGGTGTGTGGGATGTTTCCACCCGCGGGCCGCAGATTGGCTCCGAATCCGTGTGAGAAACGCCTGTCGTGGGCTTCGACTGATTTTGGAGACCAGAGATGTTGCGTTTGACTTTCTTCTTAGGAGGCATTGGCGTATACAGTCAAATTTCAACATTTTATTGTGGGGCAACCACTCGATGAAACCCTTTGGAACGTGGTGGACACGCACCATTTATCAAAAGGAAGCGATTACACATTTTTTCAGATTTTTCCATGTCCTTTTAAGGGTTTTCGCCAAAATCTCAGGGACCATTTCCTTAAATAGACATTTTCTCAAGAACGGCTCGGTGAATCTCTTTGAAACTTGGCCGGGAGCTTCACCTAACTAATACACAACGTTTCAGATACTCAAAAAGAAAGTGCTATGTCAGCCATTTTTTTAGTGGGCTTTGCTTGTCCACGACTGTAAGTCCCGACATATCCCATTCGAAAGGAAACTCC